CAAACAAACATTACTTCCCAGGTAATATTTTAATTCCTGAGTGGTGCATGTAACTCCTGTTCAACAATGCCTTGTTGAAGTACCTGGAAAATTCACAGGCTCAGGAAGGTCTCTATCCCTGCAAATACCTGATCCATCTGATGCTTGGTCTGGTAGGTCCTGTACAGTAGCAGGTACGTAGCCAGGTAGTTAAAGCACTGAACTTGGAGTGTGGAGTTCTGGGTTCTGCCACAATCTTGTAGCTTTGCTTATCTTTGCTTTCTAGCAGCTAGTGCAATTTGCTTTTCACAGCAGGCAGAGGCTGCTGCTTTCTCCTAAATCTGACAAGAGACCACTGGTAATGTACAGCAAGTTCTGATAGTGGTCCTCATTTTGCACTGTCTTGTTATCCTGCATGTAACGTTGCTGAGATTGCTACAGTGACTAGCAATAGCTTCTTACTCCCTTTTCTCATTCTGCCTGCAACATGCAGGCTGAATCACAGGAGCTAGAAACAAGGTACTTATCCAAGAGTCGGTCTTCAGTTACCTCATGCTAAATGGCAGCAAACTGGCTCATTCTCTGTTTGAGTACCACTAATTATTCTTTGATTATACAAAAAACCCAACAACTTGAGACATTTCAAATCAAGATATGATATTTCACTTCCTTTTGTTTCTGAACCCTGCTGGCGCCAACCTTTATGTTATGTTTTAGTCCATTTCAGTGGCAGGAAATTGATCTGGCCAAGGCCAAATCCTGACTCTTGATGTTGTCAGGTGACCTTTCTTATCTTACTTAAAAAAAGAATTAAAACTCCAAGCTGTTCTGATTTTCAGATAGTTGGCATGTTTAATAACCACAAGGCACTAACAAAATCTTAAATTAAAAACCATCTATTAAGTATCTTCTCTGGGAATACTCTTACTATGTTGTCAGTTGGTGCCTAGGCTTTGTATGCAAAGGCTGGTTGAGTATTTGAAGGCTAATCCATGTAACTATGTGTGCTTCTGTCTTGTCTTTGAGCTAGTTCCCTGCTCCAGAAAGCTGACAAAGTTTCATCGTTTATATAGTTGTAAAGTGTTCAACACAACACAAGGAGGTCCTGATCCCAAACATGACCTCTGGTCATTACAAGACCAAAAACAGTGATGAACTATAGAATGTCAATACTCTCTTCCTATTAATCTTTCTTATTATTGGGCTATACAAGTCCCCTTGCATTCACAGTATGTGTATGAGGCTGTAAAGGCTGGTAAATTTACTTTGAAATTAAACCCACCTGTCTCTCGTTCTGCCCCCTCCCCGCAATCGGGAAAGGAATAGTGGTCCAGTATGTGTGTAACCTTGAACTTTGAAGATGTAGATTTAACTGCGTGGCCTGTGGCAAAGCTAATCTCTCTGTGCCTCAGTTCCCTATGTGTAAAACAGGGATCAGACTTTTCTATCACACATGGGTGTTCCTGTCACAGAAGGGTGTCACAAAACTGCTGCAGCATCCCATTGTTATGCTAACGGAGGCTGTATAAGATGACAGATGACCATTTCTCATTTACTTCAAAAACTTTTAGTGGGAAGATCTCCTGTTCATTTCTGACTATTGTTCACTGAAATTCTGCCAATTTCCTGGCTCACAGATTATATCTGAGACCAGCAATTTATCAGAATGAAAATAAAAGCTTGATTTTTTTGAATTGTGAAATACTGAAAATGAACTCATTCTTCAACATGTCACTTCACACTTGGCTGTTTCAAGATATATTTTTTAACTAGGATAATCAAAGTTAGTCCCTAGCTGAGAGAGGAAGAGTTATAACTGTTCCTCCTATTTGTTTTAAAAGATTAATTCTCACTTTGTCTGGATCAGTATTACCTTGGCTGAGGCATAACCAGAATACTTTTCCATGTTAGGGGTACTTCAGTCAATGGCATAGACACTTCTTATTTCAAGTAGTTCTTCACAGACAGTAGGCATATACACATCTACATGTGCATTAACACACTTTAGTTAATGTGCATTAAATCTAGTACCTCTAGGGCACTTTTACACATACTCTGAAGGTAGGGAGTGGGGTAGTGCTTAAATAAGAGTGGCTCCAAGAGCTGCTCTAAAGCGCTGTCATGCCTTGTGTATCAGCATCCCCACACTAAATGGCATCAGGGGTGCTTGAACTAAAGTTTGACAAGCTTTAGTTCAAGCAGCTCCACCGTCATTTTTATGTATGGGGACACTGATACGCAAGATGCAGGAGGCTGCTGAAGTGTGGTAACCGATTAATCAAGTCTTCTCTGACACCTTCTAATTACAGCATATTGGAGCAGTCTCCACACTTGTGTATAGATCTACCTTTCATTGTGAGGTACTAAGAAAATGCACATTAGCTTGTCTTAATGCGCATTAACTAAAGAGCATGGTTTTTAAGTGATGCTTGATGCACATTAGCCTATTGTAATGCGCATTAACTGAATAGCACTTTTTAAGTGATGCTTTAATATGCATTAAAATGGCTAATGCATGTTCAAGTGCACATGTAGACATGCCCTTAGTGCATGTGATAGGTTATGACTCAAATTTCAAAGATACCGCTGGTGTTACTTTTGCCCTACCTGTGTGATCCCTTCAGTCAAAACTGACAATCTGAAATTAGTTTGTTAAAAGAGACTACACAGATGTCTGGAATGAAAATCTAGAGAGAGATCCTAAATTACATTCCCATTTTCTTCATCCCCAAATTTTGAACAGTTGGAATCTGACTCTGGATCTAAATTTATGGCCCATCTCAAACGTATAAACATAACCCAGAACTAGAAACTGGGAAATGCACTAAATTCACTAAGCACAATTCTGAGAAATATTATCAATAACTTGTTCCAATGACAGTTACTCCAGAAAAAGTGTAAACCATAATCTAGCTAATCATACTGACAAATATATCTGGTCCTTCTTTCTATAATACTGTAGCTCAAACCAGCCCCCTAGCACAGAACCTCTTAAGAAGTGTTTCCACTGAGAACTGAACTTTACAGAGCTCACAGAAATAAACTGGGGGGCCTTTCTAATCAGTGGTGCATTTGACCTCAGAAAGGAGCTAAATGACATTTCAGACAAAAACATAAAACTCTTTGGAGGAGCCCCCTGTTCTGAGTGAGGGGATTTGCATGGCTGGGGAAGCTGTAGGCAATTAACTCATTATTGCAATCATACTAGAGGCAATGTGTGGGCAGTATGGTATGAAGTAAGAATCTCTGAGAAAAGGAAAGCAGTCATGCTTCTAGTGAGACGCATTGGTGATGCATAGCGGGTGTACGCGGGTACATGTGCACCCCCTGAGTGTGGCAGTGCACCCCCTGCGAAAAGGCTCTGCCCCCCCTTGTTGCTGACACCGCCAGTGGCATCTGTGGGCAATCCATGATCGCCACTGTCTGCCGCCAGCACTGCTGGTGGCGTCCATGGGTGGTCACTGACTGCTGGTCGGTGCTTGCCACTCCCCCCCCCCCCCCCCCCCCTGCACTGCAACCCCCTGCAGGAGCTCCCTGCTTGCTGCTGCCATGCTCCTGCCGCCAACAGCATTGCCACTGCCTGTGGGAGCTCGCTGTGCCCACCCCCCCAGCCTCCAGGGGCAAGCGGCGTTCATGGTGAGACTTGACTGAGGCAAAAGCTACTGGATTTGATTCTTAAAGGGGTAGGAGAGTCTACAACTGCAACATATGTTTACAAGCTTGTTGAACGAGCTTTAGTTCACGTGTCCCCGCTGCCATTTTGAAGCATGGGGATGCTGATACATGAGACACTGTGGCACTTTAATTAGAGTGGGTCTTGGAGCCACTCTAATTTAAGCACCCTCCCTCCCCCCAACCCCTGGAGCATGTGTCACAGTGCCCTCCAATGTGAGGTACTAAATTAATGCACAAGTGACGCTTTTTAGGTGACACTAAATGCTCAGTAGCCTATTTTACTGTACATTAGCATAATAGCATTTTTTTTACGCGCTGCTTTAATGAGCTGTAGAATAGGTTACTGCACATTAAAGCACACGTGTAGATGCTCCCAGTTTGTTGCATTTGAAAAGATATAATATGACCTTTACAAATGACTGGAAAGGGAGCTGTGGTTGTCAGATTTTTAGAACTCAGGGGATGAGATCCTACTACTAATATAATTCACTTTTATATAGATGTTATATTAACAAGATGCACAACACCTCAAATATTCCTAAGGTTTAGATAGGGTTTTATTGGCACTGGGGTTTTTTTTTGCCTGTAGATCCTAGTTCTCTTAGTTTTGGGCTTGGTACTTGGTTTGTTAGCAATCTTAAATTATGTTTGTAGTTGATATTTGTAATGTTAGATATTATTAGCCAGGACCAGGGAGTGTTGTTTTTTCTTTCACTGTGGCTGAAACAAAGACAGTGCAAAATGTACGCTGTTCCTTAGTTGCGTGTGTCTTCCAAACTTTGAAGGGACCAGTCCAAAGGGCAATATAGTTCCATTCAATTACCATTCATTAATTTACCCTTCTTTTCAAGGTGGCCATTAACAGTGATTGCGGGTGATTGCTGAGATTTACAGCAGGACTGAATGAACAACTGCTTGTTTCATGTTGGCCAACAAAGAGGTGCTGAGAAGGAACAATGTTTGTTCATTATTGACTTTTCTTTGGCTTTTAGAAATGCCTGGGAGGCCATGCAGCCTAAATTCCATTGGAAGTCAATAGAACGTATGTGCCTTTGAAAATTTTGCATCTCTATCTGAATTCAAGTACCCTATTAGAAATGACCTACTAGAGAGGAAAGTCTCTATTTTCTTATCAGTTGCTTGAGCCAGAAAATCTAATCTTTCTATTTCAAGCAATTAAGAGGTCACTGATTTGTTTGGAAACTGCAGGGGGATATTAAAATGGATCCAATATCTTGAAAAATGTGCACGCCTTCATATTGCAGTAAAAGGACTGTTTTTTTGATGTTTCTCAAGCACTGGTGAGTAATTTTTCCTCCTTTGCCTCCCAATCTGTTTCTTTCCAGCCTCTGTGTCATCCTCTTCATCCCTCACCACAAGCACCTCCTTTTAAAATCTTGTTGGACAGATGTCGCTCCTTACCCCTTTCCCAGAGCATACCTATGGGGTTGGATCAACTGGGCTGGAGGCGACGTCTGTTACTGAGCACTGGTGGTAAGTACTGGTTTGTTTGACTGTTTTTGTTGTCAGATTTGTTTTCTAACCATAACAGCCACTTAAAAAGGCAAGGGCAGCACTGGTGTTGAGACCAGTAGATATGGTTTGGAAATGCATCTGTGTTCATTGTAAAACTAGAACTTGAGGAAAGAGGTTGCAACAACTACAGATGCTCAGGGCTCAGCTCTGACTAGTGAGGATCTTCCTGTGTGTAATGTGTTCTGAAAGAAAGGCTATTTCCCTTCTTTAATTTCCGTGAACCCCATATTTGGGGTGCTGAAGAATAAAATGGCTGTGCAGAGTAAAAACCTTTTAACAACCTATGGGTAAGTTTTCACACACCCCTGCCATACAGGGTGATTTCTGCTCAGTTCTCTGCCTCATTATTTCTTAGTCTTTTGTGAATACCGCCATGTAAGAAAGTAAACTAAGATCTAAACATACTCAGATCTTAACCAAGTGAGACATTTATCTGGGAACATAACATTAGAAGGAAAAGTTCCCATCTATCCAACACCTGCTTTCTTATGAAAGGAGAAAGAATATCAGGGAATTGATAGAGCAATAGACTCGGCTGTAAACCAGTTGATGGAAAGGGAAGTGATAGAAGCTCCTGTCTCTGGGGATGTTCAAAACTGCATTGAACAAAACACTATAGAATGCATTTATGGGACCAGAACTCCACTGATGGGGAGAGGGGCTGATAATTCAATATATAAACTCTGAGTAAAAAAAAGAGGTGTAGAGGATGGAGGTTCTTTTCTAACACCAAGAAGGTGGAAGGTGATGTAGAGAGACACTAGCCATGCTGCTGGACTCTCCTGGTACATCCAGACATACCACTGATTGCAGCAGAGTGCTAGACCAGTTGTTCTTAACCTTTTTAGACTTAAGACATCCCTTGTTAGATTTAAGGCATCCCTCAATATTTATTTATTTTGCGTATATGGTTTTGGCATATTGTTTCAGCCATCTTAAAGCGATGTCATCACCAGTGATAAGAGCCTGAAGGTCACCAGGTAGCATAGTAAAGGGACACAAGTCAGCAACGTGGGACATGGTTTGAACATGTCCACAAGGGCATTTGTTGTCATTGCGAAGGCCCCATTGGTATAGGTTTGAGGCACAGTGACCCCATTGAGTTAAAAAATGGTTGAAAAGTGTCCACTAGCAGCATGGCCAGTTAAATCTTGGTTGACTGACTGTAGTTTCAGAGATGATGTGATGATTGATTGGTGCTTGTGCTGACTATTCTTTGTGCCCCTCATAGTAAGTGCTAGCTCTTGGCTTTCATTCATTTGTTGACTATGGAAAAATAGTAGAGCAGTTCTTCTATTTCAAAGAACTCAGAAAGACCACTACTATGGATTCCTATTTGAAATCTCTGGGTTGAGCTTGTGAATCACGTGTAGGTGTTTGCACACCTAACAGCACTAATATTGCACAACACTCCAGGCTAGACCTTAAAAGGGTGTCACCCTGGTTGACAATCACTGTTAGAGAATGGTCACAACACAACTGGATATGAGAAGCATTGGTAGTGAATGGATGAAGCAGCAGCTTAATATAATTGCTCTTTTGTATTGAAACAGGCTTCTCTAGCACGCTGAGGGGGGAATCTCTTTAAGAATGCAAGTGTTGCTGTGGCTGCATGTTGCGTTTTTAGCCTGTTATCCTTCAGCTTTAATCAACGCTTGCACTACAGCTTGGTTTTCTGAGAGCTTAGAAAGAGAAACGCAAGCAGCTAAAAATAATAGCAGACTGACTACGTCAAGAGAGCATTTAGAAAATAGGTTCTAGTGTTATCATTCTCCTGGTAACACTGGAAAAATATTGGGTTCCCTGCTTTAGCAGCCTGGAGTAAGCCATTCCCCTGAAACAGAACTCCAGATCTCTTCCTCCCCTTACCTTGGGATCCTCTCCACCATTGACTTCACAGGGCAGCTAGATTAGGCCCATGGCACTGAATTTCATAGTTAAAAAGCCCAAAGCCCTATGTCCTAGCACCCCTGAGCACTGATGAACAGTACTGTAGGGTATGTACAAGCATTACATTTAAATTGACCTAACCAGGATTAGGTCGATCTAAATGCCTGCTCATGCAGGAATTCACAAGGTTTAAATCAGTCAAAAACGGTGTGCCCATCCTAAATTAGTTCACCTTAGGAAGGGCACTAATTTAGGTCAAGAAAGGGTTAACCTGATCTAGCTAATGCTGCACACAGCTCTGGGGCTGGGAGAGCCCAGCCACTCACCCCAGCCCCATACCCCCAACTCTCACTAGGCTATTTTTATCCCCCTGGCCCCGCACCCCCAGACTGGGCAACCTTCCCCTTCCTCCCCCTGAACCCACCAGACCCCTCCCTCCACCCCAGTCTCACCAGCTCCTCCTCCTCCAGGTTACTTATGTTGGGCTGTTTCGAATGCCTGCACATGCCACTCCCGGTCTAGGTTTAGCAGTTAAGGTAAACTGCCTAAACCTAGACTGGGTGTGCTGAACATTTGTACATACCCATCGAAGCACAGCCCAGCACTACTGTTAAGAGACCTGTTAAATCAAGGTTCATTGAACTGTGCTTCAGATTTTAAAGACAATCTTTGTCCCTGTGGGTCCTTTTCTGTGGTTGTTTAGTAAGGTCTGGTTGATTGAGTTGGTAGGTGCTACTGAAATGCACACCTTCCCACCACACAGAGAGTGTGCCATACCACTGCAAGGCAGAGCTGAGCTGGGCTGCCAAGTTGAGATTTTGACTCCTATCTCTACTCTTTCAAAGTTCAGAATTGCTTGGACTCAGGGGTTTCAGTCTATCTGGCCATTGGCCCATTTCACTGGCCCTATCTGACCTTCTTTGAAGGTCAGGGCAGTGTCGTGATCTGATGTTCTGCTTGCAAGCCTGAGTCAAATGACCATCATGGAGTAGCATCTGGTACAACTGTGGTCTGGATGTGTGGTGATGGGCTAGGAGGAGGGAAATCAGTGATGCACATCTCAGGCAAAATTTCCCTAATTCAGCCACTCTCTGTAGATGCTTTTCTCCCTGAAAGGGATGGTAGGCCCCAAGGGAAGCAAACACACACGCACCACATGCTGCTAGTGCTCTGCTCAAGCTGCACGCGGCCTGCTGACTCAGGAGCCTGCGCTAGCAGCAGCTGTGGACCTACACGTAGTGTCTTTCTACAGCTTATCTCTCCCGGTGGGTGTCACTCCAGACCAGTGCTTTGTGGAAGGTGGACTGGAGGAAATGATTCAAACTGATCCATGGCAAAAAGAGAGAAGGAAATACCTGCTTCTGATAGCTTCAGAGTGCTTTGCCAAATCTGGAAGAACAGGCAGGGGAGGGGGAGTTTGCTTCCTGGTTGAGTAGTAAAAATAGAAATGATTTTAAAGCAGGTAAGTTATTCTTTAGACCAGCTCACCCCTGGTTTAGGGCAGAATGCCCTGGGGACCACTGGTCTTTCTAAGCACAAATTCGGGTTTGGTGTAAGTGATGCAACTACCTTAAAATTGCAGGGGAATAGCATTCTTGGGTGGACTTACCCAAAAAGCTTAGGGTGATGAAAGCCCCCTGACTTCTCTAGCAGACAGCATTGTATAGCCTGTTTCCCTTTTGCATAGACCAAAGGAACAGTTTAATCTTTCAGCTTGTCACATCTTATAGATCAAAAGGGCTGAGGACTTCAGATTGCCAGGGACCTGGAAGAAATATTTTGTAGCACTTCTGATTCATGAGCTATCATGCCTTCAATACAGATACATTCAGATTATACTCCTGCATTATGCTGCATTTTAAACTACTTGCTTATCTTATTGCCCCTACCCGCTTACATCTTTTTTAATTTGGCCCTCAGCTCTTGATTTACACCTGAGTTTCTGCAGTATCCAAAGTGGGATAGGCAGGGACATACTCTGCTTTTTCTAAAAACAATAAAGTAAAGCTTGAATAAGTGTCTTGCAAACAGTTTGGTTTCTTTCATTTAGATGGAACAGCCTCCACCCACAGACTGAGCCAGAACACAGTGTTTATCTTATATGATTCCTTCTTTATTCTGTGGATTTTGTCTTGGCAGCTGAGAACGACCTGGGTTCAAAGACTCTGGAGGTGCGCAGAGACTGCAGGAATGGCGGAAGGAGATGGAAGCCCCTGAAGCCTGGAGCTGAGCAGCTGCTAGTCGATAAAGTAAGGCATTGTTTAAAAAAATCTCTCTATCTGCTTCAGGGGTGGCATTTATCTACTGCATACTTAGCTAGGGAAACTAACAACACGCATTAGTAAAAGCTTCTAGCAGCCAGAACAGTTTCTTTAGCAGCAGTTTTTTTTTTCAATTAGTTTGAGTTATTTTATTGCAATATAAAAAATGGAGCATTAACCTTTTTCCCCCAGATTAGTTTCCCTCCAATATAAATCAGAGGTTTTATGACCTAACGTAGGCAATGGGCCTTCCTTCCCTTTGGCTAAGTGTTTCTCACAGATGGGGGAAACTGTGAAATTTCAAATCATCTGTAGTTTTGCTCTGCTTTTTATTACCATATGTCCTTTGGGTTCATTACTGTCACTGAAGCTATCTCTGAGACATATTTATGCGACTACTGCTTTCCAAAGTGTTTTGCAAAGACAGACAAAATCCAAGTACTTTTTCCTTTTAGAGAAGGTATTCTCCATCTTTGCAAGTGAAACCTCCTGGGTTTGGGAGTTGAGACTTTATCTACATTTGTGTAGTGCACTTACTCTGAGCTCTGAATTGTCCTAATGCCTTCAGTGATCTCATGCCATGTGCTTGCCAGAAGTTGGGGTTATTGCATGTTATTCTTCAGAACTTTTGCCTTGTGTGAGCATGACCCTTTGAGAGAGATCTCTAGTTTCTATCATGATAGGAGTCTGAATTGCTTTCATCATGACAGATATGCCAGCTACCTTGCTGATTTTTCTATATATTGAGGGGAGTCTCAGAAACAATTGTGCCACTTGCCTTTAATGAGCAAAGCGATTTAGGACTAGATTCAGCATTGCCCTTGCTTACTTGCCAACATGGCAAACTGAGGGTGGGAAGACCTTTTCTCCAGAAGCTTTCTGGTGGTATGTTTAGGTAGGATGTGCCTCAATTGCTGTATTGTTGACTGTACTATATATATGCTAAGTCTCATCGATTTGATGCTAATGTGGATGACATTAGCACGGAAGAGTTATTGGAGAATGAGCAAAAAAAAGATGATGTTATTTCTTGAATAACTGCTGTCATGCCTCTTTAGTATCAGGGTGAGGGAAGAATGGGCAAGCAACCATGAATTCTGAAGTTCTCTGTTGGGATCAGCAATGGACCATGATATGAGGCAACCGGCTTAAATGAGATTAGCAGCCCAAATTCACCGAGGGAGAATGAGTTTGGCCTGTAGTGACAGAACCCAAAAAGGTGGCAAACAGTCTTGTACTTTTGTTGGTTAAACAGCTCTGCGAGATCAGAATTCAAGGCCTGGCTCACCGGGTGTGCCTGCGGTTACAGCACATTAATTCTCTACACCCAGGAGTTCAGATATTCAAGTAAACATCTGAATATTCAGGTGCTTATCCAAACTGACACTATTTTAATGCTTTTCCTGTTGCTGCTTTCCTCACAGTGGCTGCCTCACTTTGTATAATTTTATATAATCAGCTGCCTTTCCAGAATATGATTTTCAGAAAGGACTTGGCAGCTGTAGGTTGGTTTGTCATGACGGAAATAGTTACTAGGGCTGTGCGAAACAGCACCATTTCGTTTTGACTTCTGTTTTACTGTTTCGAAGGGACAGCATTTCATTTCACTGTTTCGAAGCGCTGTTCCATTTCGTTTCGTCAAAACTGTTTCGCTGTTTCAACATGTTATATTTCGCCCAGAGGCTATAATAGGGAATCACAAAAATACCTATAACTTTGTCATTTCCTGCCTGATTCAGGTGAAAATTACAGGGTTGGTAGTCCCATCTGAGGGCATGATGCCTGCCAAGTTTCTAGGAGATAGGTATAGGGGCTTTTGTGAAACTGCATCTCAAATTGTTCAAAGCAAAACTAGTATCATTCGCCAGCAGCATGCTGCCATCCCACATGCAGATCCAGGGGGCTGTGGGGCTGTGCCAGACACCTCCGGGGGGGCACAGCCCCCTGGATCCATGTGCAGGATGACAGCAGGCTGCCGCTGCTGGCTGGGGCCAGTGCCAGCACGGGGTTTTTCCCGGCACTTAGCGCGGGCTGTGTGAGGCAGACTTGGGTGCTGGTGCTGGCCCTAGCTGACAGCGACAGCCTGCTGTCATCCGCGTGCTCCACAGCTGGTGTGCAGAATTAAAAAAAAAAAAAAAAAAAGCGACGCCACTCACTGGTTCTGGCAGCGGTGATTGGGGCCTCTGGGTGCTCGTGGAAGAGCACCCCCTGTGTGCAGTGCAGGGCAGTGGGGATCGCTCCCCCCCACCCCCGCCTGGCACCCGTGCAGCAGCTGCACCATTGCACAGGTGTACTGCAGCTTGGCAGGCCGCTGCACACTGTCCTGGAGCTGGGGCAGATCCACCTGTCATCTGGAGCTCCCGGTTAGATTCTCCAGCTCCTTGATCGTTTCCTCAGCTCTTCCATGGGGACGCAGTTTCAAAGCCAGGCTTGCTTGCAGATAAACAGAAACTAAGGAGAGGGAGAGGAAGGAGAGAGGAAGAGGGTGAAAGGACTGCTCTGATATTGACATCTAGCTCCCGGTTTGATTCCCCAGCTCTCTGATCGCTTCCCCCAGCTGTCTAATCATTTCCCCAGCTCTTTGTGGGGGGCACGGGCCCTAGCCTGCAGCAGCAGCCTGCTGAAACCCTGTCTGCAGATCGGGAGCCTGCACCCCTCCCCGGGGAGAGCTGGGGAAATTATCAGAGAGCTGGGGGAAGTGATCAGAGAGCTGGGGAATCAAACCGGGAGCTAGATGTCAATAGCAGAGCAGTTCTTTCCCCCCTTGTCCCCACTCTTTTCCCCCTCTTTCCTCTCCCTCTCCTTAGTTTCTGTTTATCTGCAAGCAAGCCTGGCTTTGAAACTCGAAATGTTTTGAGATGTTTCAAGTGCCCTCATTTTGTTTCAAAGCTGTTTCAAAGCCTTTTGTTTCATTTCAATTTTGCTGTTTCGGGCTCGAAATGCATCAAAACAGCTTCAAAACAAAACACCTGTCAAAATTTTGCGCAGTCCTAATAGTTACCCACCCATACATGATGTTGACCTCTGATTGGATGGATCTTATCTTGCAACTGTCACTGAAGATTTGCAGGGGAAGGCTTGTGAGCACTCAGGAGACATTTTTAATGTTCTGCCTTCAATTCCACCTTTATTTATTTCTCATTTTATTATTGATGTAAAGTACTGAAATAAAATCCCTAAGGAAGAATTTCATTAATTTATCCAAGCATCAGGTACAGGGGGTGAGTCCTCCATTTTTATCCCTTCCTTCTAAGGCAGAAATGCTTCATGTAGGGGTAATTCTGCCTCAAAATCTTCTTATGTCTGTGTTTCTATGGGTAGTGAACAAGCTACTCCTATCAGTGAATCAGTTGGGATAGCTGTTTTGGTAATTAGCCTCTGGACTGTGTTGCTAACTACTACCCATTTGCCATCTTGATAAAAATGAACCAAAACCAGCAGAGAGGTTGTCTGTGCTCAGGAGACAACCAAGAAAAGCAACAGCATTTTTCAAGGTGAATTGCTATTACAGACTACATTGTAACCTGTTGTACAGTATTCAAGGCATATCTTGGAATGCCATCAGCTGTATTATATCAAAGGCAATATTACCATATTCAGGAGTTGGCTTTGTGATGCATAGCTATGGTCAGCCAAGTTTAATAAATCAAATTCTTAACCTATTAAGAATAATCCTACACTTAACAACTTTAGTATTTTTCACACTTGTGATGATAAAACATGTTCCTAGTGTTTCATGGGGAGTCTCTGGCTATTTGTTAGCTGTAATGCACGTAGCATGAAACTTTCTGGGGAGTGTTAGGCCTCATTCTTTAAAATAACTCTGATAAACATCACTACTGTTCTCCAGGACCAGAGCCCCATTTTGCAAGACACCATGGATCCAAAAAGTAAGGCAGTCTATACTCCAAATGATTTGTGTAAAGAAATCTTTCTTACTGAAAGTGTAGGTAGGTCACTCATGGGGCCAGACAAAGGCTGATTAAAACAAACTCCAGAGCATCCTCTCCAGCTCATTCCAGACCTGCCCTCTCAAGCCAAGCCCAAGCTATGTCTGGGGGAAGAATGTTTCCTATCTAATTAAATGGCAAAAAGATGAGATCCCAGGGTTAATGGGCTTCTACACTGTCTCCTGACGAGCAAAGAGACCTGGCTGCTGGGGTTAGGAGCAGAAGCAGAAGTGCCAAAATGTTGTGCGTCATGTGAACTGCTGGAGATAATTCAGAGAAATGGCTTTTGGGCACTGATCAAGACCCCCTCTGAGGCTTGCTCATTTCTGCCATTAGGCAGGTTGTCGCTCAGTCTGAATTACAGAGGACAGCCAGGTGTGCAAAGGCTGATCAGAGTTTATAAATCAGATGTGCTGAGTTAAATGATGCAAGAATGGGATTTACAAATGTGGATCACAATAGCAGCCTTTGAAAACCCCATTTGTCACCTGTATCCCAAGGTGAGTTAAGATCTTTGGATCTGTAAATCACCTCTGTGCTAGCCAGAAATCCCTGGCAAGATTTGTAAACTAAAGGTAAGATTTGTGGGCTGTCTCTTGTCAATCCATTTATTTGCTGCCGTGGACCAAGCAGGTTGTTTTAGAAGGAACATAGCTGAATCCAGCAAATCAAAACCGCAGTCCCAGCTCTGGGAGAAGCCAGGCCCAGTTTCCATGCTGTGAATGATAATGCCTGAGATACAGAGTGAGGGTCAGGGGCTGACCTAGCTCTGGTGATCGTAGCACCAGTGTTACCTCAGTCCTTGAAAGACCTGATCAGTGCCTGAAAATCCTCGCATATCAGTGCACATCCTGGAGAACACGGAACTGCGGGTGAGCAGCCTCCCTGGGAGCCCCAGGAGGTGACTTCTTATTCACTGGGCCCAGGGTACTGCTTCTTGAAATACCACTGCACATCCCTGTGTTTCTGAAGCACTGAACATGTGTTCTGGGCAGAGGAATGATGTTTCCTGATCACCCTGTGACCCAGAGGTAGGTGTGAAGGGTCACTGAAGTCAACAAGGGGTTCCCATTGCAGAGGCTGCCACATGTCATGTCCAGCAGCACTGTCAATCATCTTGCAGCCCAGGTGGATCTTAATGCATCTGCCCTCACTATATAGAGGCCTTTGTCATCTTCTACCAGGCAAGTGGTCTCCTCTCTCACTGCTCCTGTTATGTTTGAGCAGGAAATGGGGAGCAGGCAGCAGTCAGTGGAAGAGGTTTTGACAGCTGGTAGGACTGGAAGGTAAGGTGTCTAATTCTCCTTCTAACCTGCTTTCATCCCGCCCTAGCTATATTTTTCCAGGAGCCCTTCGTAGTTTGTACCTTTCCACCTTGCCTACAAACAGACTGCCAGAGAGAGTGGATGTTTACAAGGCTACACTTAAGTCTTAGCAATCCCCTGCAAGGTAGCTAAGGATGGGTTGTGCAGGTTTCCCAGATGCGTGGGAAGCTAGGGCTCCAGGATGCATTAAGTGCGGGAACTTCACTGGTAATTGAATATTTTGTTCCTCCAGCAATTCTGAAACATCAGAAAAATAAACTAATTTCTGGGTGAATGCAATGATCTGGTGTCCCAACTTCTAAAAATGCTTCTAGAAGCTTGTTTTTCTTTAACTTAATGGAATTAAAGAACATTTTGGACAGTCATTTGGGATCAAAACTGTATTTAGAAAATGTTGACATGGGAAGTCTTGACTCTTCTGAAGTTTTTTGGGGGGTTTTTTTTTTTTTGTTTTTGTTTTTTGGAGGTGTGTAAGGGAGGTTGACACATGCCATTCAGCAAAATGGAGATGCATTTTCAAAATGTTTCATCGTCATCACAACTGCATTTTGGGCTGAAAAATTTTAGCAAGCTCCAATTAATGGTCTCGCCTGGGTGTGGTAGAACTGGGAATGGTATCCAGGGTACTCTTATGCCTACTCCTGCATTGCTTCCATGAGGGCAGTCTAGTTGCCTGAATGGAACTGGGGAGAGTGGAAGTGAAGGTAACTCCCCTTTTCTACCCCTCTAAAAATAAGTGTGAGATTTGCTCTCTGAGCTCCTTCTGGGCAGAGCTGTGGTTCCGGTTCTTTGTTGGAACGGCTTGCTCCCAAACTGAATGGCTGACTTCAGTTGTATTTTAGGATCCAAGATTTGCCTGCTGCCTCATCCCCAGTCCTTCCTGCCTTCTTGTTATGAATCCTGTTAAATTGTCTTTTATGCCAAGCAATCCCTGGTCTGATTATGTAGGATGGTAGTTTTGCATCCGCATTGAGGACCGGTTTCACTAACATGCCCTCTGCTAATAGCAGGGATCATGCAGACCTGCTGCAGAAAGGTGATGAATATTCACAGAAAAACAACCTCCCCTCCCAGCC